CCGACCACGCCCACCCACCATAGGGTTGGTAGGTGAAGGGGTGAGGCGGGGGGGGCCTAGAATTCCCAATATTACCCTACTTCTGTCATTTAAAACTTTATAGTTCTTATATTAGTCTCATACTATTTTAGACATCCTTCATATAGTAATTAATTTTTGTTATTATACAGAAGTTTCAGGATGGTTGGACAGTGATGGTATGTTCATTATTTTAACAAAGTTAAAAAATATAATTTAAAATTTCTAAAAATGAGCAAGACATGAATAACGTTTTCATAATTTTTTTTTTTGATATCGTAAAACNCGTTTTCATAATTTTTTTTTTTGATATCGTAAAACATAAAAAACATTTCATATCAATTTAAATATATTATTGTTCTATATAATATTATTGATTACGTTAAACAATACTTATTAAAAAAAATATATTCTTTTTAATAATTATATTTTATAACGTTATGTAAAAAATAAGAGTGTTTGCCTTTTTAATTATCACAATAATAAGTTATGTTTTGAATAACTTTTAAATGTTAAACGTTAAAATGTAATAACTTAAAAAATTTTATAAGGTTTAAATGTGACCAAACTTTAAACATTAATTATATAATGTTTAAATGTTGTTGCCGCCTGGGCTGTTCTAAAAAAATCCAAAATAAAAATGAGGAATAGAACTCCGCCGTACGGCTTAACATAGGGGCAATTAATAATCAACAAAAAAAGTTTTTAATCAATTTAAAATTGACAAAAGAAAAATATTTTTTGTTAACACAAAATAAGCTTACCCAGCCCAACTACTATCATAACATGAAACTACAAAGTGAAAAATAAATATAGTTTAAAAGCGTGTTTTTTTAGTTTTTTTAAACTATAATTATTTTGAATAAAACGACCAAACAACACAGGCCGNTGAATAAAACGACCAAACAATACAGGCCCCTGATAAGGCGTCCTAACAGCTGATGGCACAAAAGCACTACCAGCTGACCACACCCAACCAGTGCAGCTCTCACGCTTGATGCGAACAAATGTTTAATACAAATGTAAGTAAAAATGGAGTGCTATTGAAGGGATATTTCTTCAACTTAATTTTTATTAGTGCTGTATTATCATGTCATATTATACGTATAATTAATAAAGCTTTTGATTATTAAATTTGTGATATTAAATAGATTATGGTCATTCACAAGGTAAGTTATTTCTTTATAATATATATTTCTTTTATTTTTTATTTAATTTTATGGTATTCTAAAATGATTTAACTACAAAATATGTATTTAAATGAATTTAAACACTGTTAACTGTTAATTTGATCTGAAAAAAAAATGGGAAATTATAATTATGTAATATGCATAATTAAATTAAGTAAATAAAAAAATAAGTACAACGCAATACTAAATAATTCATACAAAATGATTTTCCATCATTATCCACTTTATTAATTGAAAAATAAAAATAAAATCAATAATTTTTTTATTGGTTTCTCGTTTTTCTCAATTTATATAAATCATGTTCTTATCATATTTATTGTTTATCCCTTATATATTTTAGCGTAAACAGGTCGTTGTTGGCTGTGTGACATTCGCTAGATTTTGTACCGTGGCGTATGGTACGCGGTATTAGTCCAGTCGAACTACACATAGTGTGCGATGTCTGATAAATGTGTCACAGGTCGCGGGACTCCGTTTAACACGAAGCGATATTGGACACAGTACCGCGTCGCTTATTATTATATTATTAATAAATTTTGTAATTTATTATTTCAGATGAAAAATCTAGTAAGTAAATATGTAATTTATATTGTTAGATATTAATTCAAGTTAATTTTAGTTTTATGCGTAGCTAAGAAGCTATTGGTTTTACTCTACTTGGTTTCTTTTTTTTGTGTATGTATACGCTCATGTTTCTTCTGTTGTTCTCAATGATACGTCAAAAGGTTAACAAACGTATTTAGTTAAAGCTATCACCGCCATAATTTTTAAAAATTCCCGGTATTAAAGAGAAATGACTCAAAAAAGTACAATAGTTAATATTAATGTTATTATGTTTCCGTTTCTATTAAAATAAATTTATGATAACTGGACAAATTATTGCAAAATTTTTAGTTTATAGTTCACACGTTTGCCTTGCTAACGACATGCTTTCTTAGAAAATGTAATCATTAACCAAGTTTCTGCGAGGTTTTAAAAATTATAGACATTTTTTTCTTTACAATTTTTTATATTTTTCTAAAATACCTACCTTCTTTAAACTTGAATCAAATTATAGGTAATACAACACACTTTAGGATAAAAAAAAAAAGAAAAACTATACGAAATTTCGATTTTTGTAAGTTTTTTATGCATTACATTTACAATACTACAATTTTTAGTAAACATGGTTGCATTTGAAGAGTTTTGTATAGTAGCAGAACCACTATACCATTTAGAGCTAAATCAAATATAAGGTTTTTTATGAAATATACGATTAAAATAACATTTCAAAGTTCTATCTTCTATAAATATTCGATCTTTCAAGATGATAATCATGTGAATTTTGGTATATATGATAAATTGCATTATTTAAATAATGCTAAGATAAAAATGAGATTTTCGGTGGTAATTATTTAATACAAGTACCTTAAATTCAGCATAGTTTTTTTGAAAATCCTATCATTTATCAAAATACTGAGAGGGGGGAATTCATCATATCATATTCTCTTATTATTAATTTTAAAGTGAAAACTTAAAATTTCAACTGTCCTTTATAAAACAAATATAACTTTATTATGAGGTTTGAGAGGTATTTTTCAAAGTTATGGACACTAATAGCTTTTATTAGACACATTTTGTGCTTTTTGACACATATTTGAGCAAAATCGGTTTAGTAATTATAATTTAGTAAAATTATCAATGATTGTAGATATACTGGATATACACACCATTGATTTGAATAAATCAGAAACTTGTTTGTATTAATTTTCATATGTAAAGTTGTTTCCCAAAGTGTATAAGTGTGTTGTGTGATACAGTTGAAATTTATATTTATTTTTATATATTTAGTAGGATGTGTGGTTTTGTTGTTCATGACATATTCGTGATTTGATATGGTATCCAGTATTTCGTTTATTTGATGATTTTGTAAATAATTTAGTACTAATAAAATCTTGAGTAATAACGTTGTTTGTATTAGTGGAAATTTTTTGTTATCGTTTATAAAAACAAAAAGAAATGTTTGTATGATTCGAGTTTCGTAGATATTAATATCGAGATGTAGGATAATTTCCCAAAGATAATCATAAAAATGTATTATTTAAAACTGGAAAATCGTGATATCATTTTTAAATTTGTTATTACAAAAAAATTGAAGTACATAATAAGACTAGAAATTGCAGCTAAAGTTGTAGCAATGTTACTAGCAGATGTTTGCTGGGTATTTAGCTGTTGTCAGACATCACTCGTAATAAACAAAAAGTAAAAATACCGGTGATTGTAGAGTATTTTAGAAGTGGTTCGTATACGGTCATCGACAATAATAGAATTAAAGTGAAAAGATTTCGGGGTGTGTGTGCCTAAAGGAGTACGACTGATTTATGTAAATACAAGATAAAGAAGTAATGAAAGGTTACTACTTAGCTCTATCACAAAAATATCATAATCACAAATTTGTAAAAATGTTTTTTTCTGTAATTATTTTAGTCAGTTCACTTCCGACTCTACTTTAATTGTATATTGCTTAAAATACTTCGGTGGAGGTATTATTATAGATTTATTATACATATAAATATTTTAACTTGTCTATAATTATTTTGGTTAGACAAATATTTGGTTGCGATGATTATTGTAGTTGATGTCATTATTAGCGATATTTACACATGTACGTCCGTGTACGCACTTAAAACTAACGCGACTTTCATTACTATATTAAGTCACGTGTAACTATTTCTCCAGTCAACTATATATTAAATCTACCCAAGGTTAAAATCGAATTTAATATCGTCTTGAGATTTTTTGTATATATTGTAACTGGTTGGTCGATAAGTGGAGTGACACTTTGGAGAACGCTTATGGTAATTAAAACTTTGAAAGATTAACTTTCTATATTTTGTCAATTAGATTTATATAATATCTATGAAAATCTGTCCCGTTGCAAGGTATTTTAAAATAAAATAAAATACAAAACTCAGAATTTAAACACAAACATAGCATATTTTTGAATACGGTGACTGTTTTCATCATGAAGACAAGTCCGGAGGTCAAATTTTTTTTTTCAAAATAAATTATATTATTTAAGCTTTATTTAAGGTATACATAAAAGTGTCAGTATATTTTCGACTAGATACAATTAATAATCTTTTGACGTATTGTTCATCATAATCGGTCTAGTGGAGCTGAGATTGAGCGTTAACAGACACAAATAAAGAAAAAATATCCATAACAGTAAAATTAATACCTTTTCAGCTTCGTATCGAAGCTAAAATACCATGAAGAATTTTTTAATATAATTATTATTTTAATAGAAATCGAGGGGCTAATAATAAACGAATCACTTAAACAACATACAATAACATTTTATAATTTTCCAGTAAAATGTACAATACTAAATTTAATTACTATAATACTTACTGTATAATATGACCATTTGAATTTTATGCTTTAAAAATAAAATCCAAATACAAGGGTTATTGTAAAACATTTCGTATCAAAAAAGATTACATTAAATTTTACTAAAACTTTTTAACAAACTTGAAATTTTTTTACATAGAACAGTAACATGTTACACATTAGATTAAAACTATGAGATTAAATAACATTACAAATAATCTAGCTACAATAACAGAATTTTTATCAAAAAATGAACTTATTTCATTTAAATTTCCTATTTTACTAATTAATATATGTTTGGCAATATAGATGATAAAAATACAAAACCAACCAATTGCAGACATCCAAGTTAAAATTGAAATAAAAATATACTCATTAATATTTGGATTTTATTTATTATATACATTTGAGCTACTGTTTTTACCTGATAAAACTTTTAAAATCACAATCACAATAAGCATCAACAGCGATTTTAACTAATAAATATTCTTCTGTTTATTCAAACAAAAGTAATTTTCGTGTTTTACAAACATATCGAAAGTTACATAAAATACATTTTTAATGTATAGTGAAATATAAAAAACTACACATTTTGAACGATCATGCAGGAAATTACAAATTTAGTATTAACGCAAATCTTGGATGTATCAACTCAATAGGAGATTTGATAATAAGTACGAATTAGGTTATATACACTAACTTGTATTCGGACAATTGATAAACTTGAATCGTAGAACTTTCATTTTATTTTCTATCAAAGTATTGTTTATCTTATAATTTGATAAGAAAATAAAAAATGCTTTATATTTTTTAAAACATCGTATTATTACAAGTAGCGTATTATAAACGCTACCATTATCTACCTGTGTTTATAGTCCCGCTTATTTTAAATATGTTTTGTATCTGAAAAAATCGAAATTTTAAAGTGATGTAAAACGAATAAATTTAAATAAAACATTCAAACATTATTAATTAAAAATATATTTTTCTACCCTTATAAGGCATATTGGATGAACCTAAAAATTATCTAACAATAATAAGTGTAAAATCATATGTAACAAAAACTCCAAAAATTTTTTTTTATTTTGAGAAATATTTACTGGCTAATTAAAAAAAAAAATACTCTATATAAGTATTTTTATACATCTGTCAATTTTTCTCGTACGTATAGTAAAGCCACCATACACAATGCTCTTCGACCTTCACAATATATTTTAACGTATATGTTGCTCTATCGTCCTTTAATTCTTACACACCTTATTCCATTACCTTTTTAGTTCTCACCGTCTTATCATTTTTTTCATCTATACATCGACTACATCATCGCTCTTCGCATTCAGCTTTGCTACTAAGCTTTGATCGACCCTTTTTCAAAGTCTTGTCCATTCATATATCCATAGCCTCGATCGGCTCAACTCCAATCTATCTACAGAGCCAATTCGATGAGTACTATTGAAAGTTTTCTTGTAGTTTGTCTAATTTAAATAGTTAATTGTATTTTTTGCGCTATTGTGACATTTAGTGATAAGTGTACCCCCATCCACATTACGTGTACTATAGCAACTGTAATGTTTTGTATTAGTACCAAAAAATCATAATATTTCTAAAACAGCCAATAATGATGTTGTAATATTTCGCTTTCTATTAAAATAACTTTATGAAAATAGGACGGAATGTGGAAAATTTTTAATTTATTCTTTTAACATATTCTTGCTAATGACATGTTTTTTGAAAAATCTAACCACTAAACCAAGGTTTTTCAGTGACTTAAAAATCATCAACATTTTTTTTTTTTGTTTTGTAACTTAGAAAATGTAATTTTTTGGAATATTTATCTTTTTACGAGAATTGAAAGGAATTTTTCAAGTTATGCCACTAACTTTTATTAGATAAATTTTGTGATCTTTTGACATATTGTAGGGAAATATTGGTCTAGTAAGAGCAGAGTAATCGTGTATACGGACACAAAAAAAAAAAAAACACGCCAGAGTAAATGCAAAAGCTTCTCAACTACGCATCAAAATAATATCCTATTAACCAATAATTAATTATGTTACTATTGACGATTGCAGCAAAGTTATAGTAAATTTACGTAATTATGATTTATAACTTTGCTCATATTTTCAGATACTGTGCGATCTAGTGAGTTATTATGTTTATTATTATAATGTTTACTTTGCTCCGTTTAGCTGAGACTCTTCTCCAGATCCGAGACCTACGAGACTCATACAGTTTCGACACTATATGCTCATCGTGCCGTCCTTACGGGTAGGCTACTGATTCTGTTAGAATTACCCAGTGTTGTATGTTTCACGGCATGACATTACACACAAATACAACTTGCAGTAGGACGTTAAAGATATACAAATAAAAAAAAAAATACAGGCTTCCAGAGAAATCGCACTGTATCATCATAGAACAATCTCCGGTGTCCCAAACCGGAGTCCCCTAAATTCGTTCTCGTACTCTATTATATACTTAAAACTAGGTGAAGGTATTCTGGTATATTTACATTTATTTAAAAATACTTAAACGTAGAGGAAGTTAATTTGTTAATGTATATTTTTTAAATAACATTCTGTAAGAATTCGCTATTTGATATCTATATTCTACACCAATTATTAACATAAATATTGACCACATCAATTTCATTATGATATGTATATTTGTGAAAGAATTATAACGATTTTTAAATATTAGAAAAAATAGTTGTTAAAAAAAAAAAACCCAGCACAGGGGGGTCGCGGCACAGTGGTGACGTGGCATAGTTGGATCAAGTATAATGATATCTGACAGTGATTAAAATCACTATAAAAAAAAAACGCTTCGATGCAAATCTTTAGATAGTGTTTAATTTTAAAAAATTGGTGTATTATTCTAAAAGCTACATGATCTGCTATTTCCTTATTAAAAACCTGATTAAGTTAAAGTATGTCGAATAAAAAAGGGATATAACTATTATTTCTCATAAAAAAATTGTGTTGATCCATACGCTTTTCAATAAGTTATAGCATTATAAAGTAAAAAATGTAAATTATAAAATCGAAAATTTTCACACAAAAATATCATTCGGTAGCCGTTTTCACCATGAAGACAAGTCCAGAGGTCAAATTTTTTTTTTTCAAATTAAAGTACATTACATTAGCTTTAATTTAAGATATATATAAAAGTGTCAGACCTTCCGGAACATTTTCAAAAGTTAAGTTGAAAAAGTTAATTTTTTGTGAAAAAGTTGTCATTTTAAATCCCCCCCTGTGGGCAGGTTAAGTGTCAGATTTACAAAAAAAATATACCAAATGATAAGTAAAGACATCAAGCATCTATATAAAAAAAAATTATATTGATATGTTCATTTTTGAAAAAGTTAGAGCATTATTAAGTTAAAAATATAAAAAAAAATTATTTTACAAAAATCGTAATTTTTTATTAACTTTGATGTCAACTTTCACCACGAAGACAAGTCCAGAGGTCAAATTTTTTTTTTTCAAATTAAAGTATATTACATTAGCTTTAATTTAAGATATATATAAAAGTGTCAGACCTTCCGGAACATTTTCAAAAGTTAAGTTGAAAAAGTTCTACTTTCTATATGCATTTTTTATATTTGAAGCCCCCCCATATATAGGGAAATAGTCTGATTTAAAAAAAAAGTATATCCAATGAAAGATGTATATAAATACTACTTCTCATGAAAAAATTGTATTGATCCATACATTTTTTAAAAAGTTATAGCACTTTAAAGTAAAAAATGTAAATTATAAAATCGAAAATTTTCACACAAAAATAGCATTCGGTAGCCGTTTTCACCATGAAGACAAGTCCAGAGGTCAAATTTTTTTTTTTCAAATTAAAGTACATTACATTAGCTTTAATTTAAGATATATATAAAAGTGTCAGACCTTCCGGAACATTTTCAAAAGTTAAGTTGAAAAAGTTGTCATTTTAAATCCCCCCCTATGGGCAGATAAAGGGTAAAATTTACAAAAAAAATATACCAAATGATAGATAAAGACATCAAACATCTATGTAAAAAAAAATTATATTGATATGTTCATTTTTGAAAAAGTTACGGCAGTTTTAAGTAAAAAAAATTGAAAAAATTTCGAAAATTAGCGATTTTTAAATTTGTAATTTTTTTGGAGGTTTCCCCCATTTACGGGGAACGAGGGAAATTTTTTCAATTTTTAAGGGTAATGTCTTCGACTAGATACGATTTGTGATCTTTTGACGTATCGTTGAAAGAAATCCGTTCGGTGAGAGCTGAGAAAAAGTGGTAACAGACACACACAAAAAAAAAAAAACACATCATAGTAAAACCAATACCTTCTCAGCTTCGAATCGAAGCTAAAATGATTAAATATCTTATTTAGAATAATAAAAATTTCTTAAATTAAGGATTAGAATAATGAAGATCATCATAGAACTCTAACAATGTTTAACATCACTATTATAAATAATATATTTTAAAAACCTTTTCTTAAAAAATAGTTTTGTATAGCAATTAATATAAATTTTCTGAACTTTGAGATGTTAAACAAAACATTTACGACCATTTGTATATAAAAGACAAAACAATGTCAATGATATTTTTCTAAATTAAGTTGGGTAGGGTGAATTGGGATAATTGTTAATACTTTTATTTAGATAAATATATAAAAATTTTTATTTCGAATTTAAATTCAACATAATATCAACATATATAAGAGCCATAACTTTATAATCTAAAATAAAACGAAATAAAATTCTAAGAGAAAATTTGAATTTAGAATTACCCTAATCGTTTTTTATTTAACCCTCTTTACCCTATATTATAAACTTTAATTTAAGATACATTTAATGTTGTCTAGTTTTCCTTATTTTAAAAAATTAAATTGAAAAAAAAAATTCAAGTGTTTGAAAGGGTTTGAAAACCCTTTCCTGTACTTAGGTTTATTATAAGGTTTTCATAAAAAGTATTCATTTAAGTAGCTGTGATCTTAAAATATAGCTCACTTAAAATTATACCGTTCTATTAATTACCCCCAGAAATCCATAAATACGGGTCCAATTATAAATATAATATACTTTTTAGCTTCGATGTGAAGCTGAGAAAGTATTAATTTTACTATGATGTGTTTTTTTTTTTTTTTTGTGTGTGTCTGTTACCACTTTTTCTCAGCTCTCACCGAACGGATTTCTTTCAATACGTCAAAATATCACAAATCGTATCTAGTCGAAAACATTACCCTCAAAAATTGAAAAAAATTCCCTCGTTCCCCGTAAATGGGGGAAACCTCCAAAAAAATTACAAATTTAAAAATCGCTAATTTTCGAAATTTTTTCAATTTTTTTTACTTAAAACTGCCATAACTATTTCCAAAATGAACAAATAATATAATTTTTTTTTTATAGATGTTTGATGTCTTTACCTATCATTTTGTATATTTTTTTATAAATTAAATCTTTTACCTGCCCACAGGTGGAGATTTAAAATGACAACTTTTTCACAAACAATTTACTTTTTCAACTTAACTTTTGAAAGTGTTCCGGAAAGTCTGAAACTACTATATATATCTTAAATTAAAGATAATGTAATATAATTTATTATGAAAAAAAAAAAATTTCGGACTTTATTTTATCTTCACGGTGAAAATAGCTACCAAATGCAATTTTTGTGTGAAAATTCTCGATTTTATATTTTACATTTTTAGAGATATAGCTATAGACCTAACGTATAACTATTATTTAAAAAAAGAATCAGCTAAAAATATTAACTGGATCAAAAGTTATTTAAGTTGTCAGTGAGTGGTGAGCCACCCTGTATTTCTTTCATTTGACATACTTTTTTTTTATCGGATCATTTCCCTTTATACAGGGGGGGGGACAAACCTTTTAAAATGCGTATAGAAAGTAGAACTTTTTCAACTTAACTTTTGAAAATGTTCCGGAAAGTCTGACACTTTTAAATATATCTTAAATTAAAGCTAATGTAATGTACTTTATTATGGAAAAAAAAAATTTGACCCCTGGACTTGTTTTCGTGGTGAAAATGGCTACTGAATGCTATTTTTGTGTGAAAATTCTCGATTTTATTTTTTACATTTTTAACTTTATAATGCTATAACTTATTGAAAAGCGTATGGATCAACACAATTTTTTTATGAGAAATAATAGTTATATCCTTTTTTTATTCGACATACTTTATCTTAATCAGGTTTTTAATAAGGAAATAGCAAATCATGTAGCTTTTGGAATAATCCACCAATTTTTTAAAATTAAACACTATCTAAAGATTTGCATCGAAGCGTTTTTTTTTTAATAGTGATTTTAATCACTGTCAGATATCATTATACTTGATCCAACTATGTCACGTCACCACAGTGCCGCGATCCCCCTGTACTGGCTTTTTATTATAGATTATAGTAACAATTAAATTTTTATTTTTTGATATGTTTCAGCTTGTTATGCATGTAAAAAAGTATTTCGCAAAAATAGTAAAAAAATAAATAGGACTAATTGTTGTAAGAACACTGTATGTGATAAATGTTTTCATGATAAATATTCTAAATATTACGCAAGAATTCAAAAACCGTGTCCATGTTATAAGGAGTGTAGTAGTAGTGGTAATTATATTTCAAATATGTTACTTAAGTCTGAGTGTTTAGGAGATTGTTTGATAAAACTAAGTTATAATAGAGTAAACAATTTGTCTTAATTTTTTTAAATAAATAATATAATATGTTATAATATATTAAATAGAGGTATTCATTTCTACAATTATTAAATTTAAATTAAATGTAAAAATTAAATATTATAATAATTTGGAGACAATGCTTTGAAATAATTTATTTCGATTATTATTTATAGTTTTAAATATATATTTTGTTGCTAACCTATCTTTCTGTTTTTGATTTCATTAAAAAATGTTTGGGAAAAAGTAGCAGAAAATAAAATTTCTATAATTAATATGATTAATCATTTATAATTTTCAGATGCCGTAAATTTTAACGAAAATTCTAAAAATATTGTTGACAACAACGTTAGCCAAGACACTATAAAATGTTTAAACAAAGAATGTACGATTTGCTTTACGAAATCAAAAAATTGAAAATACAATTATTACTCTATTTGTCCTCGTATGGTTTGCAAAGATTGCTCCAAAATAAACAAAAATAACAATAATATTAGCAAACATTTTTAAGATAATAATATGTTATAAAATTCATACAACTTTTTTCTGAAGATGTCTGGACATATTTTGTAATGACTTTGTATAATATCGTTATCTAAACATAATTTTGAAAATTAATTAAGCAAATTTTAATTAAAAAATATGTATTAACTTCTCAATTTTCTATCAATTAATATTTTAATTGTCTTATTAATAAGAGTAATTTGTATTCTCAGTTTTATTTTACTTCCTCATTATTTTAATTACTTTATTTAGATATTTAATTAGATAAATTACATTTATGTAATTCAAAAATTTTAAATTGTAATATTCATAATTTAATTTTGATTCAGACTGATATAATTAAAAATGAACTAAAATAATAATTATAATTTAAAAAAATCATAAGTAGGAATAAAACAAACAGTGATAGAATTTCTCTTAATATAATGCTGTATTTTTTAAAAATAAACATTCATAAAATACAAATGTTTACACAATTATTCAATTTTTAATACCCATATTCGTGTATTATTGTTAATATTATAAAAGTAGATTAAATGTACTTTTTATACTATTTTTACTATTAATAAATATTATTAATACACATAAGTATATATATATATATATATTGTATTCATATATGCACACACATGTGTATATCAGTTATCCTAGTAATTTATAAATACAATTTTCTAAGCTAAAAAGCGGGTTAAGTTATTTTTTGGTGGATTTTAGAAAAAAACCGGTAATTTATAAATTTTAATTTTAATAATATATATTGTTAGCTTCGATGCAAAGCTGAGAAGGTATTAATTTTAACATGATGTGTTTATTTATTAGTTTTTTAATTTATTTTTTTTTTTGTGTCGGTCACTACTTTCTCTTAGCTCTCACTGGACTGATTTATCTCAACGATACGTCAAAAAATCACAAATCGTATCTAGTTGAAGAAATAACCCTCAAAAATAACGATTTTTTAAATCGGTAAATTTCTATATTTTTTTCTAAAAATTGCCATAACTTTTTTAAAAATTTTGAAGTTTAAATTTTATTTATTTTTTTTGTTTATTTTTAAATACCATATAAGGGTTTTTCATAGTAATAATTCCACTAATAAATATAAAATTTACATAAATCTTACTTACAATAAATATAAATTTATACTTATTAAGATTATTTTGCCTCTTCAAAATTAAGAAAAATTTTTTTGTGTTTTTGAAAACTTGAAAATTTGTATAAAAAGTAGAACTTTTTCAACTAACTTTTTAAAATCTATGCCTTTATGTTAAAATAAAGCTTATATCATGTACTAGAAGTTCAAAAAAAAAAAATTGTACCTAATTTCTATGTGCAAATGGCAGTCGAAGTATAACAAAAATAGGAGATAATTTTAGTTTTGGAATAATCCATTAATTTCTTAAAATTAAACACTACCTACAAATTTGTATCAAAGCATTTCTTGAGATAATGATTTTAATCACTGTCAAATTTCATCTATACTTGTCTCAACTACGCTATCGTTTACATACTGTGCTACCGTTTTTTAAAATTCAACTGCAGTTGAGTAAATTTATTAACACTTTTTAATTTTAAAATCTGGATAGCTAAATTTGAAAGTATGTTAGTGTTATATTAATTTCCAGATTCATAGTAATTTTTTTTTGTCAGATTCTATTTTGGGGAGGGCATAATGATACTTTTACCACCATCGTATTTTGACCAAGGGGGCAACTGCCCCCTTCCCTGTCCACAGGTTCCGGCGTCACTGTTTCTTATTTTATTTTTGTTTATCTGGGCGTCATTGTGGTATTAGTATTAAGTGCCCATATTGATATATATATATATATATATATTTTTTTTTTAATAATAAATTAAATAAATTTTATAATATTTTCTAATTTGTGTTAATACAGTTAATTGATTATATGCTTTAAATTCATTTCATTCATTCTTACAGTCTACCCCCTAATTCTTTTTCCTCGATATAACCTAATTAAAGACAAAAACTAACGAATTTTAACTAACCCACGTGACTATCACCGGCCGCTGTTTTCATACATTGATCTATTGAGCGTGAATATTTATCCGTTTTAATCTTGGAATCAAAGGCATGTTTAAGTAAACTAAAAGAAAAGGCTCTCATTGGAGCACGTCGTTTACTGGATAGGTTCCTTAAATCTATTACTGATATTCATAAATTCGCCATAAAGATTAAGTCAAACGGTAGCCTGAAAAAACAGCTTGAAGTACGCGTCCTTCAAAACGTTCTCGATAAACAGTTTCGCGAACATTAAGACGCCATTGTAAGCGCGTTAGTAGAACTAGTTCCATGGAACTAGTTGGGAACAGAACTCAACTAGCATATGTCAATAATGTTGTTATCCTGAGAGAATCTCAAGACCAGATAATCTCAAATACATTAAAGTTAACCTTTTAGCAGGCGCGTGCCTATTTTTAACGTTCATAGTCGCGTGGGGGTCTATCAGACCCCATTTATAAAAAAGTATAAAATATGTATAAAAAAGTTCATTTTTTAAAATTCAAAGACATTATTTGTTACCATATCATATATAAATATGGATAACAATTCAAATATTAAAATTAAAAAATAAATTAATTACAAAATTATGTGCATTACTAAAAATTACATTACGAAAAAAAAAAATACTTAATTTTCAAAATTTCATTAAAAAATTTTGGATTGTACAAAAATTATTTTAACTGCAAAATCTAATTTTTAAAACAACAAACAAAAGCTTTTACTATTACAAAATGTATTTTAATTAATTTTTCTTGTATTTCTTTGAGCTCAACACGGCTAAATGTATTTACATTTATATAATCATTTTTCTGAATTGAATTTTTTTATTATTAATATTACAATACATTTAATTATTATGATACGAGTATATACAATTATTCGTTCGTAGTAGCTAATCAATTACTGATAATCAATGTGTCCACTAGGGTGGCCCTCAAAAATCGAATTATTATAGTAATATTGAATCTATTTTCATAAATAAATACCTTCGAAAAAAAAATGTATGACTTAAAATATCCATTAAAATTAAAATGGGTCATATTTACCCCCACGCGACTTGTAACGTTATAACTTTTTTTTGGACTTGTATTTTTTTCAAAATATCGTTTTATCGTAAATGCAATGTTATAATCGATATAATATTGTGCAATTGGAATTATGTAAATCTGCCCCTGAATGTGCAATTAAATTTTAAAAATAAATAATCTATTTAGATTTTCTACTACTCGATGATACGGAATAAATAAGAACAAAACATGTAATAAATACATCGCGTTTCAGTGTGGACACTAGGGTGGCCCTCAAAAATGTCTTTTTTTTTTTACGCTACCCCTTAATTTCTTTTTAATGGTCAAAAAAATAAGATGTGCAAAATTTGGGACCAATCCGTTTAGGTTAACCCGTGCCCCCGGGCCTATTAAGTTGAGTCGTAGAGTCAAATTTAATAGAAATAACTGATCTATGTCTCATAACTTTTTTTTCTCTTAACTTAGAATAATAAAAGTAAAACTCAAGTAAAGTAAATTTTACAAGAAATTGATAAATAATAACTTCAATGTTGTTTCCTCAATAAATAGCCCACAAAAACACTACATACAGTAAAAAACATGTAAAAGTCTTAAAATACGTTATAACTGATTTTGTTGATTTTTAATTATTTATTTTCATTTTATTTTTTGGAAAACGCATATTCGTTTAAAAAAAGATTCTAGAAGTTTAATTTTTTATGCCAAGTATGATAATTATATTAGATTTATTATTTTATGGACAGTTAATTAATGATTAATTACAAACCTAACAGTTTAATTTAATTTTTATTAACAATTTTTAATTTATTTTTTTTTAAATAATAATAACTTTAAAAAAATATTTTAACAATAATAAAATTATATTATTATAATATATTTTTTGATAATGTACTTTTTTTACAATTAGGAAATTTTTTCCGATAATTACTTACTATTTGTAAAACGTATTGTTTCTGTTCTTCATTTGTAGTTTATATCTAAAATCTAAATAGATTATTTATTTTTAAAATTTAATTGCACATTCAGGGGCAGATTTACATAATTCCAATTGCACAATATTATATCGATTATAACATTGCATTTACGATAAAACGATATTTTGAAAAAAATACAAGTCCAAAAAAAAGTTATAACGTTACAAGTCGCGTGGGGGTAAATATGACCCATTTTAATTTTAATGGATATTTTAAGTCATACATTTTTTTTTCGAAGGTATTTATTTATGAAAATAGATTCAATATTACTATAAAAACCATCTTCTAAATTTATATCTAAGTACACCTTTTATGCAATATAATACATCAGTTTTTATTTATATGGGGGTATGCTAGACCCCCACGCGACTGTTAAAGAGTTAATAGAAGCTAGCCAAAGAATAGGACTAAAAATTTAAGATGAAAGAAAGCATTGATAATGACTAGGCTTTTAATCAATAAAAAACAAAATCTCAATGTAGATTAATACACTTTTGAGCAGGTGTATAACTTTAAAAACCTGGTAGTCAATATAAATGTAAACAATAATATGCATAATGAAATAAATTTGAGAATAGCGGCAACAAACCAAGGTTATTTTGCCATGAATAAAATATTTAAATCAAGACTTTTATCAAAATAATCAAAGATAAACTTTATACTACTTATCTCCGTCCAATTATTATGTATGGATGTGAGACATGGTCAACAACAAAGGGTGATGAAGGAAAATTGTTGAGGTTCGAGAGAAAGATTTGGAGAAGAATAGATGTACCTATACGAAACCTGGATAATGGGGAGTATTGTAATATAGGTCATTATTTTGTAATGTTTGGTTTAACTTCTTGATTTATTGTTACTAATTATAATTTAGTCTATTATTTGTAAACCTAGAAGTAAAATATTTGTGTAATGTTTGGATTAATTGTAATTCCTTAACTTATTGTTACTAGACCAGGAAATAAATATTTATAAACATTTTTAAAAACGATTGTATTATGAATTTTGTGAAAAAAAGAAAAAGAAAATATTTTAGTATGTAAGATGAAATTGAATGAATTGAAAGGGAAAGAAGATCTCGGGAGTATCCAAGATAATCTCTTTTCGCGTGGTAAGTTTATGACATTAAGTTTTTATTTTGTGTATTATTTATTTATTCTGTTTTAAGTGTATCTTTATTTTGTATGTTTTACATTGTTTATTATATCTTTAATAATTAAATTTGCGTTATTATTAAACTTTTATTACTATAAGTTTGAACAAAAAAGGTTGTTACGTTTTTAAATACAACAAAGTGGCGCCCAACTAGCGCGACTCGAGCACACGACT